TTTCATTTGTAGCAGGGCCGGATTATGCAACGTGGTAGAAAAGTAGCAGGGAGGAGGAATTCATGGCATGTGCAGATCTTCTACAGATGAGCCCTCATATAGCTTCTTTTCACTTCAGTAAGACTTTCTAATTTGTTCCACAATTGGACAGGGATATGCAAGGATATGTCAAAGTTCCATCCCATGAAGGTGCAAAGAAGTCCACCATGCCAATAGTGTGGGCCTATCACGGCAGGATGGTCATGGAGCTGGAGCTTCACCCATCTCTATGTTAATTCAGCCCTGATTTGTAGTCTTGATTTCTGGGTGGAAATAACTGGTGGGGTGAGAAATATTACATGACACAAAACCGAAAATTACTCTTATGCTGTTTCTGCAAATTGCAACCTTTTGTGCAAAGCCTTTCTTATAGTTCTTTGTAGCGGAGTAGACGTGTAAACTGCAATATCTCCGCTGGTAGACGTAGTCAGCATATAAAGAGTAGCATAGTAATTCCAATCCCATACCCCAACAACTGGACGACACACAGTTTTGGGAGTCAACTGAACTTTTTTTGAACCACAGCTGGTTTTATACAAATCCCCATGCAAGTGGTTTCCATACTGACATTCCAGGGGTTTTCCCCTGATGGACCTTGTGGAAAACTGAGGTTACAATAACATTTCCCATAATCATTTTCTGTACTGGAGAGATAATTGCGTAAGAGCACACCTTTAATTACATTATCTCTCCATACAGAAAATTACACAATATTGGTTAAAATATCATAATTCGTATAATATTTATCCGAACTCCATGAAAGTGAGACAGAGAGAGAGATACCCAAAACTTGTTTCTGCCTAATATATGTGTCTCCCTATCCCCACTCCCTCCACATTCTTTCTACTACTATGTTCTCTTTTGGTGTGGCAGAGTAGCAAACATCTCTGTGGACCTGACAGGTGTAATGGAACAGGGAAAACCTGTCCGGCTACGTTGACACCAGAGACCACCATCACGATTCTTCAGGGTAAGATCTTGTCCTCTACCCACTATCACCTCTTGAGTGCTCCCAACACAATATTTACAAAGATGCTTTTGGCTCACAGGTCCAAGTGATTAAGCTTTCAGCCAGTATGTCGAAGAATCTGTCACCCTGCCCCACTACACCCCCATTATTAATATTTTATTATTTATATAGCGCCAGAAAAATTCCGTAACGCTGTATAACAGAAATCATTCCTGTTCAGGGGGCAAGAATACCAACTATGATTTATTCATCAAAAAGGCCATCCTGTTGATCGTTGTAGCAGTGCTATTTTACTGCTAATTTGCAGTGGGTGGATTGTGTGCGAGTTGAGAGGCAAGGATAAAGTGGCACATGGATCCCCCCTCTATCCATCATGCACCAAATGAAGAAATGAGCAGTGAAAAGCCCTGGCAGAAGAAGCACAATCACTGCTAGGTAGATACTTTACAGCTAGTACACTAGTAGTATATTACTTGAAGGTGCCCTGCTTGTAACAGGGGGCGTCACAACTCGCAACTATCACTTGTCTAGATTTTATTCAAGAGAAAAGCCTGGCATTACTGGCATTTAACCTGTAACGTGCAACAAAGGATCAGGTAATCCGAAGATGAAGCAATGTGAGGGACTTTGTAGGAAACTTACTGGAAACAGGAATAAATGTTTGTTGGGAGGGCAAACTTTTTTTTCTTTTATCATCTAGTGCACTGAAGAGACAAAGCACAGGTACAATATCTACATAAACATAACTCTTCAAGCTCATAAATGTCAACGGTATTTGCCTTGATAGCAAGTATAATATGTTTATAATGCAGTAACAGGACTGACCTACAAACTTTGGACCCTCATTATGGTCATTAACCCGACTATCACACACTTGTTTGTTATAGATATATTTATTAATAGATTTTAATAGTGTATATTTGAGGGACTGGACTTTCACAGTGCCCAACAA